CTTATCTAAACAAGCTACACAGCATCAAGTGATCTCATGAATATTAATTAGCGTTCTGAAACAATGGTTTGGTAAGGTTCCTTAGCAGAAGGCCCAAGCAAGACCCAAGTTAACAAAGTCATCAGATTTCAACATATATTCATAAAACTCATAGTATTAACAGCTTGTATAGAAACTACTTATGTATCATAATAATATCAATAGTGTAATAATGTTTGTCTCATATTAACCACAGTAGTTATCACTTGGTATCAAGAAAACTGCTATTATTATTACCAAGCTCTATGTCTTAGCAAAGGCTATATAGACGCTGTATATAGCATCATTCTAGTGGCTTACACAGGTTGTACAAATTATAGTAAATTATATAAAAAGTCTAAGTGTCATTATAAAATTAATAACAGCATTCAAATCTTGAACACTTACCCAAAACATATCTGTATATAGAATTAACATAAAACATAAAACAGCAGAATATACAGATTTTCTTTCAGTTAGAAAACATCAATGCAAGCTACCTGCTAGCCATGTTGGATCTACAAAGCTTCATTGAACCAAGCAATGGAGCACGCCCTCAATAATAGTCATGAATAAATATAGTTTCGCATGAAACAATCACGTTCGTCGTAAATGAACCTGTTATGCACAGCGCGTGTTGGCTTCCGTACCCGAATACCTTGGGGATGTTTTCCTTTGACAGACGTGGCGTATTCTGTATGCTATTATATATTGTCATAGTCATCACATTGATGGTTGCGCCTGTATCAATGACAGCATTTATTATTGTTCCGTGAACGCTAATGTTTACTTTGGGCTGTTTTCCTGAAGCGGACCCTGTTTCGTAAAATGCATAGTCTTCTTCACTACTAACATCGTCGGACCCGTGTCAATGGCATGAGCTTTGTGTTTCTGTCGGCATACCTTCGAATAGTGATTCAGTATACCGCAGTTACTGCATTTTTTCCATATGCTGGGCACAAGTTTTTATGAGGGTATTCACCTCCGTAGTATATACAGGTGGTTGTTTTGTGCGTGGTGGTCTTGTTGGCTGATTTGTCTGCGCTTTTAATTTGTATTTTTCGTATTTTTTGTGTACGGTTCTTACCTGGTGAGTTTCACTCGATTCGATTTCCTTACCATGCTTTATATGGTCGATTTGCTATGACGCAGCAGTTTCTGCACGTATTTTAGCTACTGTATGGCCTTGTCTAAGGTCAGGTTTTCGGTGCGAAGCAGGCGATGTTTAAGGGAGACGTTATTGATTCCCATTATCACACGATCTAGGATGAGGCTGTTCTTTAGAGTCTCAAACTCACAAGTCGCGGCAAGACGTTTCAATAAAGTAATAAAAGAATCAAACTTCTCACCTTCCTACTGAACCCCGCTGTTGAATATATAACGCTCGTAGGTTATGTTTTTTTTCCAGCGCAGAATTCCTTAAATTTATCAATAACTGCAGTAAACTTTGTACTACGATCGCCATCTGCGGTCCACGTGAATGTATTGTATGTTTCCACGGCCCGCTGGCCTACAGTATGACCGAGTGCAGCGTATCCACCCGTCTCGTGTCAGGCTTGCTAACTACGCCTGTCGCTGTCTCAAAATGTTCATACTGTTGTAGAAAACGACGCCAGCTTTCGGCCATATTACCTGAATCTAGAGGCAATGGTGCGGGTATAGTATACATCGCCATCGTAGTCGCCAATGTAATGTATAAAATTATGGTTTTTGCTTAAATATTTATTGCCTCATCCCCTGCTTACTAACCACGTATGGGTCATCTCCCGGTCATATGCTAGAGGTCATACTCTTATTCACCGTAGTCCATTCGACACTACAGACCGTAGCGTTAAAAGATATATTGCCTTAATAGGGGTGTTCCCTGAATAGGGGTGTCCCAAAGGAGGGGTTCTATTGTACTAGGCAAGTGTTTAGTAGTAAAAGTCCTATACCTAGAGGGTAGGCTAGTCTACTACCGTATCACGCTAGCCTAAGACTACGCGTAGTTCCTCCTACTCTGGGCCTATTTTATACACCAGGATGTTGCTCTGTGTTCTGTGCACGTGGCCTTCTAATGTGTGAGATTATCATCATCATTGTTTAGTGTACAATGAATTGATGAGCATGTGGTTGATCAATTTTCTTTTTTTTCACCGCCACCGCCGCCGCCGCCGCCGCCGCCATCAAAGTATTGCGGTCTACTACAGTCGGTTTGTTGATGTTGCATGTTTTTAAAAGCTCGAGCTTTGCCGAAAACATGTGAATACAAATATTCATGAGAGTATTGTTGACTGCGTTACAGCGCCACCAATCGTTACTGCATCAAACGTCCAGAAAAAAAAAATTCGCGACCAGCCCTGGCAAAACCAGCCGTTTGCAGAAAAAAATTCAAAATTGAGTTTTTAGTGCTTTTAGATTCTGCGTGAATTCTTTTTTCAATTCAACTTTTATTTCGGAATTACAAATCCATATCAATACAATAAGAAAAGACAAAAAAGAAATATCAGATACAAAGACTGTGCATTCAGGAGTAGGGACGTCACTTCGCTAATGTCCAAATGAGCCGCAAACCCCACCTTAACCAAACTATGCATTAAAGGGGTAGGGACGTTACTCCACTAAGGTCCTAAAGACCCACATACCCCGCCCTAACCGAACTGAGCATTAACGGGGTAGGGACGTTACTCCGCTAAGGACCCGCATACCCCATCCGAACTGAATTATGCATTGCTGGGGTAGGGGCGTTACTCCAAGGTTCTATTGACCCGCATAACCCACGCTAACCGAACTATGCATCACCGGGGTAGGAACGTTACTCCACTAAGGTCCTAATGACCCGCATACCCCACCCTAACAGACCTATGTATCAGCGGGGTAGGGACATTACTCCACTGAGGTCCTATTAACCCGCAAACCACAAGGATGTTCAATCAAGTTGAACTGTTCAACATATAGGAGGTCTCTTCAACTGCTATACATCTAGGAAGAGCATCAGTTTACATATACAGTCGCGTCGGAAGCAATTTTTGTTGGTCCGGCCAAATGCGACGATCCCCAATCCATACCCCTCACCTCAAATTGGCCTGTGGTGGGAGGGGTTCTGGATGAAAACCGTTTTATACACTATGTCCTTACAGGGCATCGTATTCTTGCCAGTATTACACAAGACACATTATATTTACAGACAAGATATTTCTACCCACATATTACGGGTCCAGACAAGCTCTTATGGTTTGACAAATCACGCAGAAAAAAAGATTATTTCAAATTTTCTTTGTTGCAGTTTTGCCGGCTCTCCAGAGACTCACATCACTGATAAATGGAAAGTAAACTGATCATTGTGAGTTTAACAGGTTATTATAGGCTGTAATTAGATAATAACAATAACTACGAGATGTGTCTTTCCGAAATAAATACACAAGCCTACAAGATTTATGCAATACATTATTAAAAATAATGTCTATGTTTATATACACGAGATGCCTGATATAAAATATTATATGTAATGAAATAAAATATATGTTAAAAATGAATATTTTGTCATGCTCTGGATGAGATGTATCATTAAGAATTTTATCAAGTTGCTTAAAAATATGCTGTTTGTGGTAGGACTAAATTATTTCCTAGCAGTTTTAATTATTCAGTAAATTCTTATTAAAGGTGCAGTCAAATAATGTAGGAGATGATAAACTTAATATTAACAACCGCTTTAATATACCTGCACATTAAATGTTTAGTTTCGATTTCGATTATTTCACAGTCACATTCATATTCACATGTATGATTACAACAGAAAATGTTAAGTATATCTAAAACAATAAAAGAAAATATGAAAATAAGATGTAAGGAATTACATTGGCAAAGCTTTTAACATGAAACGCTTTTAAATAAGATAATTAATTCTTTAAAAATATATATATATATAATAATCAGTTACATGGAAATTTACTGAATACTCAGTACGTTTGAAAAACAATTGCGAAAATAGACAATAACTGGATTTGCGTCAGGAGAATTAAGTACCACAGCAACGTATCAAAATAAATTCTTTAAAAACAGATTCTTTAAAACAGTGTTTATTTGATGGAAATTGGTTGAGTATTAGCTAAGTTATGAATATTTTGTTAATTGGAAATGAACCATGCGGGTTTTTGAGAAAACAGCTTCTGAAATTTCCAAAGTCAATAGTATGTTATAAAGATATTTATTTTTAATATACTTTTCAGTTAAATTAAGTGATTGATATTTTTCAGATATGTTCTTCAATATCTTTTTTATAAAATTCAAAAATTTTAAAATGTTTAAAAGTTTGATTCTCAGACGTTGTAAGTGCTTGTGGGAAGTTACAACTGCGACAAACGGAGGGTTTTGCCAGAGAGAGAGGTATGATGCCAGGCTAGTGATCTGGAGATCGTGGGTTCGAGTCCCACCCTAGAACAACTTGCGATTATTTTCGCAGTTGTTTTCAAATGTACTGAGTATTCGGTACATTTCCACGTCAGGTAGGGCAAAATTACACCTATACATGTTTCTCCTGACGCAAATCCAGTTATTGTTTATTATTCCATCACGACAATAACAATTACTATCAGTACTACTTTACATTCAATAATATAGTAACATGTTTATAATGAAAACCTAAGGTCCTGGTTTTTGTGCAACATACATATACTGTACTGTTTTCTTTACCAAGGAACTCAAACTACTCGTATGATATTTTTGCAAGAAAGCTATAGTCCTACACAACAATGCATATACATAATATATATATATATATAAATGTATTTTTACCTACATTTCCACTTAGTACGAGTCGTCTATTTGATACACATCAGGCGAATTCTGTCCTAGTACACCCACTCACTTACACGCAGACACAGTCCTGACCTGTGGTCCTCTGTTTTTATGATGTTGTAAGTAGTACCGTACAATATCGATTGAATCACGTTCAAACATGCCACCCACCCCACCCCCTCCACACCCTCGCATTCGGTACTTACCTTATTGTCTGTTTTGTGTTTGTAATGTTCAAAGTAGTGCAAAACGTTTTGAGCCCATACTGGAGTTTTCAGGCAATCAGGAACCACTCCTTCCTCAACAGAGTAATTTTCATTGGGGTTGAAGATGTTTAGCTCTTTGCAATCTCCTGCCTGCAAGTCTTTGCTATCCTCTGCTGACAGCATAGCTGTTTGACCTGAGGAATGATTGGCAAAAATCAATCAGTGGCAATAGAATATTATATAAAATAATATATAAAAGTCGTATTATATTATATTTGCATTACCATCCTTGCCTTTGTGTGATCTTAAGTCAGTCAGCTGATGTGCGAAGAATGATTTGACAGAGATTGTTATTTGACAGCCTGTAGAGCCCACAAATGTAAAAATCTACCACAAATGTATAAATAATCACAAATGTCAAAACATTCTACCCGCAAATGTCAAAATAACCACAAATGTCATAACATGAAAAAAAAATCGCCCACAAATGTAAAAATCTGTTTAACCACAAATGTAGTAAAATTTCACCTACAAATGTAAAAATTTCCATTTTTACCTCAAATGTCATAACATGTCATTCGCAAATGTAAAAATTTTCCTTAGCACTTAAATCCTTACAATATTCAAAGACCCTAATTAACTGCTATAATAGTAGAGCAGCTAAGGCACCATGTTGCGAATTTAGATAGGACCCATCCAATGATAAACTGCCATTTTTTCCGGTCAAGGTTTTCTCGGCGGTTTTATCATGTTGACCCCATACTATTTGAACTAAACTTGGGGCCACTCAGCTTTGTACCTCAAATCCAAGATGGCCTACAAAATTCAAAATGGCCGCCAAAATTATAATTATTAGATATACAGCATATTTATTCGGTGTTGTCAACTTTTTTTAAATGGAATTGTCACCTCAGACCAAAGTCTTTCAAGATCAATCAAGGGCCACCAAGAATTCAATTCCAAAATGGTCGCCAAAATCAAAATGGCCACCGAAAATCAGAATTATTAGAGAAATGTAGCATATTATTAGGTTATGTCAGTGTTTTTTTCAGTTGATTTGTCATCTGGTACATAAACCATTCAAGATCAATCGAGGGCCACCCAGAAATTGGCCTCAATCTAAAATGGCCACCAAAATTCAAAATGGCTGCAAAAAAATACAATAATTCCAGATTTGCAGCTTATTTATTGGTTCCAAATGTCGATGTTTTTCAGGGGATTTGTCATCTGGGACATAAACCTTTCACGGTCAATCGAGGGCCACCCAGAATTTGGTCTTAAATCCAAGATGGCCACCAAAATCCAAAATGGCCGCAGAATTAACTTAAATCGGTAAATTCTGCCTATTATTTTTCCCTGTTAACGTTTTTAAGTGGATTTTCCCTGAAACATGTACATTTGAAGTTAACTTTAAGGCAACCCAAAAGTTGACTTCATATCCCAGATGGCCGACAAAGAAAAAATGGCGACAAAAATAGTAAGATATATACTGCCTGTAATTTTGTTTATTCTCATCTCACCTTGCCTATTGTTTCTAATCATGCTTGCATGAAATTCTCACTTTATACTATTTGGCTTTTTCTACCCACACACTCCACTGAGGAAGGACAAGCATGATTTTCTCATTTTATACTATTTGGCTTTTTCTACCCTCACACACTCCACTGAGGAAGGACTAGTGTTGTTCAAAAGCTCTGGCTCTATTTCTGGCTGTTTACTTACATTCACTTTTTAGCTGTTACTTATTAAATTTGTATCTCTACCGAGATCCAGCCGTTGTTTCCAACAGCATATATACTGTCTCTTATACACATCTAGATGTGTATAAGAGACAGTGTATATATATATATAAATTATGTTTGCTGCGTAGGAACTTTTCGTTTCGTCGCTATGCTTGATTAGATTATAATGTCTTATATTCATATCTGACCACTGTTATTATCAATTATCTGTTTATTTGCATGGATAGATGTGTATATAAAGTAAGAAGTCAAACACAGTTCTGTATCTGTCTGAAAATAAAGTATTTTTATACGAGTACGAAAAGTGATCGAAAGTACTAGTATAATAAATATTTTATTTTGAGACAGATACAGAACTTTGAATTCTTATTAAAAAATGTCATTTCCGGTCACTTTTAGAAAAAATGTTGCATTAGTGCAAATACAGATATATATGTTCCGAACAAATTGAAGCTAATCTTAGGTCTCAATGACCAACGGTTAAGGAGATTTAAATATCCTACAAGGTACCTAAGGTCAAGTTTATAAACTTCATTTCCGGTCACTTTTGGACTACATGTTGCATAATAAGGATATGTATGTTCTGAAACATTTGAGGTCAAAATTAAGTCTCTGTGGCCAACCGTTTTTTGAGATATGAATGATGATGGATATCTAGGGTCAAAGGTCAGAAATGTTTTTCTGGTCACTTTTTGGCAAAATTTTACATTAGAGCAAATAGAAACATGCATCTTCGGAACATTTTGAAGCCAAAACTAGGTCTCTATGACTAATATTTTTGGAGATATGGATATGCCGGTTCATGTAGGCTCAAAGGTCGAAAATGGCATTTCTGATCACTTTTGGACAAAATGCTACATTAGTACAAAAAGCAACATTTATGTTCTCAACAATTTGGGACCAAAACTAAGTCTGTACGATTTTCCATTGCCAAGATATATGGATCCCGTCTTTTAGAGGCGGTCATTTTAAATTTAAATGGCGGCCATAGAAACTTGAAAACTTGAAACGTCAGAAACTTGGCACACATTTATTTTTTAATGTTCACATATTGAAGATATTTTGTGCCAAGTTTCATGCTTTGGTAATAAAGTGCACAACTTGGCCCTTAGCTGCTCTACTAAAATGCACAACTTGGTGCTTTAGCTGCTCTACTATAGCAGTTAACTAGGGTATTTTTAATATCCTAAGGATTTAAGTGCTTAGGAACATTTTTACATTTGCGGTTGACATGTTATGACATTTGAGGTATAAATGGAAATGTTTACATTTGTAGGTGAAATGTTACTACATTTGTGGTTAAATTTTTACATTTGTGGGCGATTTTTTTTTTTACATTTGTGGTTATTTTTACATTTGAGGTTGACATGTTATGACATTTGCGGTTATTTTGATATTTGCGGGTAGAATGTTTTGACATCTGTGGTTATTTTTACATTTGTGGTAGATTTTTACATTTGTGGGCTCTACACGGCCAGGCCCAGATATGTTCGCCAGATTAAAAATTTAGTCTTAAATGGACAGGGTGCAGATTCAGGACTTGTGTTTAGGTGGAAGGAGAAAATCCCAGTACTCGACACAGGCTTGGCGAAGATTCCACATTTTTGTAGGAGTAGTTTGATTTGACCTAGGGGGTCATGCATTCTATTGTTTTAGGCGACCAAATTTGATTATTAAAGAGGAAATCTGACAAAAATAATGTTGTAAAAATTAGAAAAAGAAAATGGCATTTACAACAGATTGCCTACTCGGGCCCCTTGAATCCTAGATATTGACGCATATAGAATTTGGCCAAACAGGCCAACTAAAATGTGTACCACCGATGGTTTACTTTGGTAGCGAAGTTGTATATAATTTTTGAATATATATAAAACTTGGGTAAAAGTGGTATTAATAACACTCTCCTTTATATTTTAATATTGAAACATCCAACCAAACACCCCTTCCATGTCTTAGAATTAGTCAATTGCACGTCAGCATATAATGTTTTGTTGTAGCTTTAATTCACAGTCCTTGAGGCATCGTTGGAATACCACTTTGTCCGAACTTTCAAGCGTATAGAAAAGGGCAAATTCGAACCTGCAACCTATCACTGTCAAGACGACCGTTATAACAATTAGACCACAGAAACATGGTTAAACATATTTAAATAACCGTCAGGTACATTGTATTATCCAATGCTGCCCATCAATAGGGCGTTAAACCAGATAACTCTAGAGGTACGACTAGAAATAGACTAAAAAAAAACTAAGAATAAACATCCTGAATTTACATGAAGAATACAAAAACAACAATTATTGTTAAGACCAGAAAAATGTCATAGATAACTGAAACTGTTTAGGAAAGTGCGATGATTAAAGGAAAGTGTTGTTTCTTATGATTTTTTTTACAACAATGTTAAAATGTAGTTTAGTCAGTATATAAAGGCCATTGGCCCAAAAATATATAAATTCACTGCATAGTATATATTTTCTGTTCTTATCTTATATGCTAATGCTAAAATTACAAAATGAGTTAATTTAAACAAAAGTGATTGTTTCTTTGTTGACATTAGTTTCTTAAACTTAAAATCATTAGGATGTAATAAATAATAATTAGGTATTAAACGGTTTATTAAATTTTTATATAGTGGACAAATTAAAATAAAATGAAATTTGTCTTCAACCTTTGTTAAATTGCATAATTTACAGATTCGTTCTTCTTTTTGTGTTTTTGTCCATCTTCCTTTTTTAATTTCAAGGTCAAGAATTCCTAGTCTTAGTCTAGAAAACAGGCTTCACTTTTTAAAATCAAGAACTAACGATAGATAATTCTCGCAATATATGTTAGTTTTAAAAGAAGAAAAATATTTAAGTCTTGAGGAAGAATTTACGTTTTCAATGATAATTTGACGTACTATGTCTTTTAAGCGTAACTGAAGATTGTAAATAAATTATGTTTTATTAAGGACATTTTGAGAAAGCCAAACATTACCAAAGCCAATTAAATTAAAAATATTTTTAACATAATGTGTCCAACAAATTTCATTTCTTTCCGTTTGTCTTAATTGAAAAGAATAACATTGTGCTAATATAATGTTCGGATCAATTTCATTAATTAAACGTAACCAAAACTTTATAGCATTATAGAACATGGTAAGCTTAAAGGAAATATTCCAACTTCGGCCATAATAGCATGTTTTGGAGCTGTTTTCCTAACCCCAAGTATATATCTGATAAATAACAGGTGTGTTTGGTCAATAATATCAATATTATTAAATATTCCCCAGATTTCACTTCTATACAATAGTATAGGTAGAATTTTAGTATCAAACATTATGTTTAAAATATTAATTGGGAGTGTTCCATATATATGTAAAATTGGTTTCAAAGAAAACAATGCCTTTTTTTCTTGTATGCTGTTGTTTTCCAAAACTTTATTTCATGACACAGAAGAGCTAAACACGACTCCTATATATTTGAATGCGTGGACTGTTTCGACTTTAGTATTTTTATAAACCAATTTTTTCAAAATTCCTCCTCTTTTAAAAACTAAGGATTTTGTTTTATTAATATATATATATATGTAAACCAATAACTCAATCACTGATAAGTACAAGGTCATCGGCGTATAATAAATGATTTAAATAAATATTACCAATTTGGATTTTTTGAAAATTATCACAAGCGTTTAATGACTTACTTAAATGAGTAATAAACAAATTAAATAAGAATGAGGCCAAAGGTGATCCTTGCTGTAAGCCAATTTCACATTTAAAAGACTGAGTTAATTTATTTTGTAATTTAACATATGCAATTAATTTTGAATACATAGAATTTAAAGTAATAAACATTTCCCCACTAACACCCGCACATTTAAGTCTGAACATAAATAGTTGATGATTAATAGAATCGAATGCGCATTTAAAGTCGATAAAAGCAACAACAAGTCTACCCCTTTTTCTATTAAGATACTTTGAAATAATTGTTTGTAAAATAAAAATGTTATCCGACGTTCTTGTCCCTTTGCGAAATCCTGCCTGTTCCTCACCTATAAAAGTAATATCATTAGCCCAGTCTGTAAGTCTGTAGTTTAAAATAGATTTGAAAAATTTTACATAAAACGGGTATGAGGGAGATACCTCTATAATTTTCTGGTCTTTTCCGGCTACTTTTTTTGTGTATTGGGATTATCAGACTAGTAGCCAATTGCTGTGGAAATTTTCCTGTTTTAAAAATTTAATTAAACAAATTAGTTATTTTTATATAGACATCTTGTGGTGATTTGATAAAGAATTTAGCTCCTATACCGTCAATACCAGAAGATTTTCCTTTTTTTTTTTTTTTTTTTTTTTTTTTTTTTTTTTTTTTTTTGCACTTGTAACTTCATTTAATGTAATTTAATGATTATGGTGCTCGTTATATAGGTTTACACCATAGTGTAGTTCTGTGTAATCTATGTTAACGATTGAATTATCCATAAATAATAACGAAAATAATTAAACCAGGTGACAGTAGAGATATCTGATGATGTAATGGCTTGGGAATTTTTAAGCTTCCTCCAGAATAATTTAATGTTTTTATCATTCATTGTTTTTATTAATTCATTACGATCATTCGTCTTTTTGTTTGTTTTTCACATTTAATATAATCCCGGTACTTTCGTTTGATGCTGCTATATTGATTAAGATTTTGTTGTGCTCGGTGTCATCTAAATTTAATTAGTTATGCTTGTCCTTGTTTTTTTAAAGCAATGACAGTCGTTATCGAATCAACTATTATTTTGATTATTCGTTGAGGGCTTACGTTTATGTTCACGTTTCGTATTGTTCTATGCTTACATTTTCAAACATTTGACAAAGAATTGAAACAACCCCGTCAACATCTTCATCACTTAGCGCTTGGTTAAATTCAGAATTAAGGTTGACAATAAACTCACTTGACCATCTTGTAATAAATGTTTGAAAATAATTATCTTTCCAAATACTGTATACCTATTGGGTTGTAAACCATGGTAAGTATTTTCCTTTGTGGTTTGTATACTACCACTATTTCCAGCCAAATTTAATTACAAAATTTATTGGCATATGGTCAGATTCAACCCTGTTCTCAATATTCATTAATGTAATAATATTAAAATAATTTACATTCGTCAAGATATAATCCACTACACTTTTCCCCTGATAATTTATGAATGTGAATGCTTTGGATAATTCTCTGTATATCCTGCCATTAACAATTCTTAACTTAGTTTCTTTACAGAAATTTAATAATTCTTTACCATATCTATTTACCACTTCATTCTAGTAATTCATTGTCATAGTAATTCTATGTCTACATTACACACCTCTGTATTTTTATTACCGCTATATTAAGTAACTGACATTCTTGGATTTTAATTAGATTTCCCCCCCCCCCCAAATGTTCCTACAGCGATTCTTAAAGAACCATATATTACAGAGCTGTCTGAAATGGGGGAGGGGAGTTAAAGTTAAGTGATTCGGCATGTTTCGTCGAATATCCATGTCGGCCATCCAGAAACTACTTCAATATAATTAGACAAGCTGGAAGATGCAATAACATTATACATTACATTATAAATGCTAGGACCTAATATAGTTTCATCAAGACGTTTCCAATTATTTGTTTAATAAAAACAATCACATAGACACTTATAAAATCAAAAGTAGCACTTTTAAAATTGCCTAACTCAGATTAATCAAAATAAAAATTTAATTAACACTTATTTAATTAACAATAAAGGGGGTAGCGACAATGTAGGTGCGTAACCGACACTGACAGCTATTTCCGGTCATTATGTTCCATGTTTGCACCTCAGTCTCAACCACGGTGGGGCTAGAATAAACATGGAAACTACTGTACACCCGATTTAAATTCTGTATCCGTCCGTAAGAGGGACAAGTGTAGCGGCCCTGCCCCCACTATGCAATGGGCCCCATTCCGTGCAGCAGAGATTTTTCACTACTGTCCAGTTAAGGACACCAAAACTAAGTAAAGTAAAACAATGTTTTTCGACTTAAAACTGGAAATATAGTCCCACGACAACACTTATTTAATACAATATCAATGCTACACTAAGAGGTGTTTTACAGCAGGCCCACTAAACTAAGCTTCAATGGGAGCAAATGAGGGAGGGCATCCTGTTTTATGGTGGGTGTACGCCCCTCGCACACCCCTAGATACGCCATTGCTCTCGCCTCACAATTTGAGAAAGTTGTCTATGATAAGAATAAAAGCTTACTCACTTAGCACAGCCGTAACAATGACAGTCGTCAGAATACTAGTGGTGGTCATTTTGAACGCGTTGTTTACTTCTGCCAAAGTAGTCATTGTAGGCCTACTCTAGGCACAGAGTAGTCTTAATGTTATTACAATGTGTTATCTTCAAGAGTAAATTCAACTAAAGCATGGTTGGTCGTCACGTTGTCCGTTATCTCCGAAAAGTGATCAGCCGCACGACAGAATCAATAAATCACGTAATAGTAGGATATGATCACGTGACACTTCTAAACTTATCATCCTCCTACAACAGTTCAGGCAATCAACATTCTGCTACAACATTTCAGTCAATCAACCAATCAACAGGCTCGAAAGGATACAGATAATTATTGGTCTCCGGTAACACATGTGACATATATTAGTATTATCCTTATTCAAACAATTCGTATTATTTTGTTTGAAAAATACAGTTTACAGTATTTATTGCGAAATGGTGTTCAAAGATTTCGTTATTTTCTATTATAAGCCTTGTTAATGCTTTGAGATTTCGTCCTCTCTTATACATCCCAACCCTCTCGACTTCCCTTAATTACAATCGCGCGTATGTGTGTGGCGCGTATCCTTCCGGCCGGGCGTAATTCAGCAACTGCTCGACCAATAATTGACAATGTTAAATGTTATATAAGTTCGTGGTCAGGTAAGATGTGGATTTTAGATTGTTTAAAATAGTTTCTGGCCGCATATCTCACAATCTGCAGTCCCAATTTTTCTTCAAAATAGATCTAAAATGACAAATGTGATAACAACAAAATATGAAAAAGAATCAGTATTCTATAACAGGGGTGGCACCACGAGGGGGGAGGGTAAAAGCTGCATTCCCCCCCCCCCCCATAATTTGTCAAGAAGAAAGAAATAGTCATGTTATATATTCCTACATATAAAATTGTTATATTTTCCCGGGGCTTCAATTACTCGATTACTTTTGAAACATTTTTTAGCGGCGCCTGACCACGTCCACTTTGCTCTGTCAGTGACGTCGGCCCCGCAGTCAAATCCTTGCGCCACCCCTGTTCTATAAATGCACACAAATAAAAACATAATCATTAATTAATTAAAAGTAGAAAGGGAAGAAGAAAGAAGAAAAAAAGGAGAGATTCGAAACCCTATAAATTCAAGTAACTTTTTACATGGTGCACTTTTATTTCTTGGCTACAATTCACCTGCTATATATATATTGCGAAAAAAGCTACAATCTACATCAATTGCCAGTATTTTTTTCAGTACAAGGATATGGCGCAAGTACAAGGATTTCGGACGTTGTGTTCGAAACTAAATTCGCCGTGACTTCTTTTTAATTGTCTTGATGTTTTATATTATTTGCTGTGACATTTGTAATTGCCTTGTAGGCATTTTCTAGTTGGCAGTGATGACATTTTGTTAAAAAAAAACTGTAACCGGGACTTTCCCTAAATGATTAATTCTGTAAATTGTTTTACGTGATGTGTGATAGAACGGTGTCAAGCTTAGCCCAAAATATTATTCAAAGTGATGTAGAAATAAATACTAAGCAAGAGTAAATTGAAATTAATTCAGCAAAATGAATCAATAGGAAAGAGAAATTAGGCTTCAAAAAGTCGAATAATTTGTGTATCCGATCCACACGATCACGCGCGGTTCAGTTTCAGCAGAAATTCAAAACCATACCATGTTTATCAATCCATCATTCAAAACCTTTATTTGAAAAAAAAAAAAAAAAAAAAAACGTTTAAAATATACATTTATAACGCGTTTACCTAAAAAAAAAAGGTGCTCTTCCTCTGTCAGTACATTTTAAAATGGTACAAAATAAATAAAGACATTAAGGATTACAACGAAATACAATAAAACCTATATATTAAGAATACACATTCTGGACCAAAAAACTGTGCGATTAATATAGGGGTGTCTCCTGACTATATGAATTTGAATTCATGTAAGAAAAACTTGCGAATCGTCGGATTTGAAAGTAAGAACAACAACGTACCGATACAGAAGTATGCATTGAAATCGCTCTTAATGTGCTTCAAACCTCAAATTTCCAACAGCGCCTACAATCGAGCGTGGTCATTAAAGATGGAAGGTGGGATTCTTCGCATATTCTTGTTAAACTATTATCATAATTATACTCATTAGTTACACCTACTGTACTTTTTAAAGGGGCGGATTTTATATCATTGACAATCCCACGCGTACGGAAAAAAGTAAGGCTTTATATGACAATGGAAGAGGCTCCACCAGTGAAGCATACAATTCTCCACGTAAATATTCTAGTACCCTGACACATAAAAATGTGTCTATTTTGATTGTGACTTTTGTATTCATTATTATATCTTTTTATGTTTGGCATAGTAGTACTTAATCTGCCATTTTCCTTTTAATTTTTAAAAAATCTGTAAAATTACTATTATTATTTTATTATTATTGTTATGCATGATAGAAAACATCTTACATGCAAATAAGCCTTCACGTTTATGGCTTTCCTAATTCAGTTTCATATCCAAGTGGCATGTGTAGTATAGAGTATTTTCATGTTCGGCATAGTTGAACAGCTACTCTTCCTTTTTTGAATTTAAAGATATCTGCATAATTACTATTGTATTTTAATATGCATAGTTATACGTATACCAACCATCTTGCTTTGCATTCGATGGCTTCCACAGTACTTTTTCACATTACATTTTAAATGTGTTTCCAGTTTGGCATTGTCAAACTTGACTATTTTCTTTTTGCACTTTATAAATATCTGCATAACTATAACGTTTTTAATTAGCATAGTTATGCATATCAGCCGCCATGCTTTGCATTCGTATGGCTTTCCCAATTTATTCTCACACCCAATTTGCGTGTGATGTATATATTAGTATCTTGTTTGACATAGCAGACTTAATCAGCCACTTCCTGTTACATATAAGATGGCTTGTATGTAATATAAAGCGCACAACTTGACATTGTTTCGCCCCTAAAGGCCAACTCAGACAGCGTCGGCCGACGCAGCCCGACGCGATTTATTGTCGCGTCGGGTCTGTGTGAGCTGAACGCAGACGCGATGGTGTGCGTCGGGGGCAGTCGCGGAGTAGAATATTAAACGTGTTTAATATTTCTCACGACGGCTTTAGACTGTCCCCGACGATAAATCGGGTCGGGCTGCGTCGGCCGACGCTGTCTGAGTTGACCTTTAGCTGCTCTACTAAAATGCGTAACTTGGTCACTTAGATGCTGTACTATAAGCATTTAATTAGGGTCTTTCAATATTTTCATTTTGGAAAAACCTCACGCACACACATCCCATACATCTGATAATAATTTATGTTAGAATTATTTGTTTGTTTGTTTACATTTGTGGTTGACATGCCATGATATTTGAGGTAAACATGGAAATGTGTAGGCGTACGTTTGTAGGCTAAATGTTCTGACATTTGTGGTTAAACAAATTTTAACATTTGTGGGCGCGATTTTTTTTTTTCTTTTTTTTACATTTGTGGTTGACATGTTATGTCCTTTGCAATTAAAATGTTTTGACTTTTGTGGTTACTTTTACATTTGTTGCAGTTTCTTACATTTGTGGGTTCTACAGGGTGTCCCAAAGAAAGATTTTACTGAATGCAATTACAAAGTTCTTAACAATGAAAAAAAAAATCAAGCAACGCCCTCTACATATAATACAATCGAAGTATAACGTTTCAGGAAAAATAAAGCTATTAAAGCTAAAGTTTTAATTGATATTTATTATCGTCAACCTGGATAGATGAATTTACATCAGTCGATTAAAGAAATTCCAAACGTGATTTTATAATCATGCCGCTAGGGGAATAAGTCTATGACAGGTAGGGTTTAAAAACTGCTATGTATTACTGTATTACTGTAAAAAAAAAAACATCAACAATAATCTCTGTCAGAGAGTTCTCATTATCAATCGCCCAAATACATAGGGGAACTTGAATGCACTTGTCCACGCCATTAAAATAATTTGAAATGCACAATTGCACGTAGGTTATACACACTGACGTGTTTGATCATCATTGGATCGGAAGAGTAGGGTGTTACCCCGATGTTATGGTTCATTTCAGCCCCTGTCGTTGTGGAATGATGTGAACATGTATCTACCAAGAAGCGCCTCTTTACGGCTGCTAGGTAGTCACGGACCACGCCCATACGCAATTCAGCACAATGACGTTGCAAGTTATGGGTTATTCTCCTACCTTTACCTTTATTTATTAATACTAAAATAATTTATTTGTGGACAATTTTACCGAAGCGGAATCACAATTTTCCAGAATTTCAATCCTGGTATTGGTAAACCCCACAAACAATGGGTTGATATGAAAATCAAATTATTATTATTTTTTTTTTTTAAGAAAAAGAGAGTTCTACAATCATAATGAAAGGGTTTGGATGGGGTTTGCAGTGTGTTTGGAGATTGGTGGTGTATTTGAAAAGTATTTTGTCACAAAAGAAAAATCAACATTTTAACCAAAAAATAGGTTCTTATGAATATTTAATTTTCTTATTGATATACCAATTTGGGAGGTTTGTGGGATTTAGCAATACCATTAACATAGTAATAATATCTAATAATAATAATTTAAAAAAAAATACATAGACCTAACAGCCGCCCATACAAAAAAAAAAGATCTGGTTATAATCAATCAGCAGGGTACTCCTAGAGCTATTCTACAGGGTATTTTACAGATTTATTTATTTTTTTTTTTTTTTTTTTTTTGGAATTTTATTATTGAGGGCCATTTTTTATTTATTGGTTCAATTCTTGCTTATTACAGTATTTAAATATTTGAAAGGCCATTTTTACCTACTTGTCATTTGAAAAAAAAAATGATTACTGATGACATGACAGTGATGTGGCTATTATACCACTGGTTGTATGTATTGCCCATGATATGAGATGAATTATTAAACACACGTAATAGGCCTAGGCCTAGCTGTTTTATTTTTGCGCTTTGTCCATCAACCACATTTTAATATTATATTTTATTTAATATAGACCTATTATAGCATTTCAACACAGGATGTGGCCATTTTGCAAAGAAAGCTCTAGGCGATTAAAAATTACCGCTAATAATTTAAACTTAGCCCACACATCCAACTTGCAGTGTAGCCCGAACAAGTAAAATTATGCCAACTATGCCTTTACACACCCTACAGTACT